GAAGATATTCCCAACCACACTGATGGGGGACAGAAGACGAAGCTTCAGACCAAACTGGTACACTACTCATCCATGGCTTGAGTATTCTGTAATGACGGACTCTACATGTTGCTATGCATGTAGACATTTTAGCACACCAAATGCCCCAGACACCGTTTTTGTTTCAACACCTGGTTTTACAAACTGGAAAAAGGCAACTATGAGAAATGCAGGGTTTTCACTACATGCAAAGTCTGAACGACACAAGTGTGCAATGATCGCATGGAGGGATTATCAAAGAGCTGTTAGAACTGACGCAACACTAACAGATCTCCTTGACAAAGAACACACTAAACAAGTACAAGAAAATCAGGCATACATTAAAACAGTTGGGGAAGTGCTGTTGCTTACAGCTACACAAAACATAGCACAAAGAGGACATGATGAATCTGAAGGGTCCACTAACAAAGGAAACTTTAGGGAAATTCTTAACACAGTTGCTAACCACGACCAACTTGTTAAGAGAAGATTAACTTCCATTCACAATGCAAAGTACACAAGCAAGATCATCCAGAATGAGGTTTTGGGTTGTTTGGCAGAAATGGTTCGGTCTGAAATCATAGAAGATGTGAAGAAAAGTGAGGTTTTTAGCGTCATGGCAGATGAAACAAAGGATATTTCAAAAAAAGAACAGATGTCCTTCACACTCAGGTACTATTACAATGGGGCCATTAAGGAGAGTTTTCTCCATTTTGAATCTGCAGAGAGGTTAGATGCAGCAGGGCTTACTGGAAAAATAGTACACTTACTGGAACGTTATGGCCTGGACTACAAAAATAACCTCGTAGGCCAAGCGTACGATGGCGCTGCCGTTATGAGCGGTAAGCATTCAGGGGTTCAGGCAAGGATCAAAGAACAGGCTAAATTTGCCTTCTACGTCCATTGTAGTGCTCATTGTCTGAATTTAGTGTTAGTTGATGTAGTCAAAAGTGTCCCAGAAACGGAGGAGTTTTTTTCTTTGTTACAGAGTCTTTATATGTTTACTTCTTCCTCATATGTGCACCCAAAATGGCTGTCTCTCCAAAGAGAAATGTATGGCAGAACCAGAGAGCTGCAACGTTTAAGCGACACACGTTGGTCATGCCGATTTCTAGCCCTACGTAATATCATGGACACTCTACCTGCCCTTAAACGACTACTGCAAGAGATTGCTCAAGAACGTCATGGTGAAAGAACTGTTGAGGCCCGAGGTCTTCTTGCTCAAATTGACCTAGAATTTGTTGTGCATCTTGTTACTCTGCGTAAGTTGTTTGGGGAGACAAAGCTATTGTCTGACATGTTACAGTCACAAACTGTTGATCTGTCAAGTGCTGTTGACTTAGTAAATGCTTTAGTCCTGACATTGAAAGACCACAGGCAGGAGTCTTTCTTTGATGAGTTGTGGGATGAAGCATTGAATATTTGTGAGCAGTGTGATTCTGCAACAAGGTCAGTGGCGAAACGTCAGAAAATGCTGAGCTCTAGACTCAGTGGCTACTGCACGCTAAGCACTGTTGGTCAGAGGGAGGTAGAACGTGACAAAGATATGTTTCTCACATCATTTTTCTATCCTGTAATTGACAGCATGCTCAATGAGTTGAACAGACGTTTCTCCAATACAAACTGTGAGCTCATGAGAAGCATACAGTCTCTCAGTCCCCAGAGTGATACCTTTTTAAAGGAGAGCAATGTTTTTTTCATTTGGCCGTTTGTATAATGCAGACATTGATGATTTAGGGCATGAGCTCCATCAATTTAAGAGAGTTTTGGACAGAAAAATACAGAGTGGTGAAGTCAAAAAGCCATGCAGTACAGTTGAGCTGGTTTGTTTTATTGAGCCATACAGGGAAGTTTTCTTTGAGCTCTTTAGACTGTGCAAGATTGCTGTAACCCTTCCTGTAAGCTCAGCCTCTTGCGAACGCAGTTTCTCCACACTGAAACTGATAAAAACCTTCCTGCGGTCCACCACTAGTGATGAGAGACTCAGTGATCTTGGTGTCCTGTGCATAGAGTCCAGAAGGGCCAAGGCTCTGGATCTTGATGTATTTGTGGACCGTTTTGCCAGACAGCACAACCGCCGTATCCTGTTGCTGTAGTGTATCTATATGATATATACGCTAGTAGCGTATGAGTGCCGCTGTGAGGAAAAAGAGATATAATGAACAATAAAACAACAAGCTTGAGCTTCTTAAGACACGGTGGGTTTATCTGTTCTCAATACCACCGGTAAAATGAATGGAGTTAGTCTGGTGTCCACATGAAGTTACGTGTGTAGACAAAGAGTCTGGTGTCCATATGAAGTTACATGTGTAGACAGAGACAGTCTGGTGCCCATATGAAGTTAAATGTGTAAACAAAGACAGTCTGGTGTCCATATGAAGTTACATGTGTAGACAGAGACAGTCTGGTGCCCATATGAAGTTAAATGTGTAAACAAAGACAGTCTGGTGTCCATATGAAGTTACATGTGTAGACAGAGACAGTCTGGTGCCCATATGAAGTTACATGTGTAGACAAAGAGTCTGGTGTCCATATGAAGTTACATGTGTAAACAGAGACGGTCTGGGGTCCATATGAAGTTAGATGTGTAGACAAAGACAGTCTGGTGTCCACATGAAGTTACATGTGTCTACTTAGATGAACCCACCGTGTCTTAAGAAGCTGAAGCTTGTTTTATTTTTCATTTTACATCATCTATCTTTTTTTCCTCACAGTACCAGTAGTTCCACACACTACTAGAGTGTATGTATGTTTGTATGTATGTATATATATCCCACCAATCCTCTCTCAAGAGGTTTTCAAAAAGGGGCAAACTCATGTCTCAAGACCTGCTTCTGTTGGTTCCCCTCTCCTGCCTGTAACTTTCCATCCACATCCCCAAAGTTTTGTGGCCCATTATGACATCACTCCATTAAGTGATTGCTGCATGTACTGCTCTAAGGAAACACTTCTCTCTCTCTCTCTCTCTCTCTCTCTCTCTCTCTCTCTCTCTCGATAGATAGATAGAGTTTATGATTTTATTATTTTGAATTATCTCTGCCAAACATCTATGTACTACAAATCTTCAAGCTCCACAGATGTTTTATGGCATCCACTAAACCTCTTTAGATATTTGTAAATTATACAGTGTGATACCTTTCAACAAAAGTTTATTTTATTTTTTACCAACTATGATTTTTCCTTTTGAAAACAAGCAAAGCAAGAAAAAAAAGAAACAAAATCACTCCAATCATTGCACACTTGTGTCGTTCAGACTTTGCAGGTCCAGCTTTGACATGATGATCTAACTAACACTAATATTGTAACTGAAATATGTATGATCCTATGATGAGCGATTGCTTACTTCCCTTTCACTCTTAAAAAATTACTGAAAAAAAATGTGTATAAAAAGGTATATGTAGTATATGTTTGTTTAGTGAGCATTCATGCTGTCATTTTTTCCTAATGTGAACTATGGTGGAAATGTGCTGTCCTAAATGGACTTGCCCATATATGTTGTAAAGCCTTTTTTTGTACACCTGCTCATCAACTGACAGTGAAGTACACAAAGACACAGACACACACACACACACACACAGACACCTGTAATATTCTTGTTTTCATGTTGTTGCTGATATCCATCAGTGTTGTTCATATTGCTACATTGTGTTGACATGATTGTTGCTTTTAAACGAATGTTAACTTAATGTTTATTGTCTGCATCCTATTGGACTACTGGATGTTAATGTGTAACACTTTTCCCTGTTTATGTGCTTTAGCAATACTGTATGTCAATATGGTCATGCTAGTAAAGCCTCTTTGAATTGAATTTCTTTTCTGATTTGGTTTATTTTACCTAAATGGATACAGGGTAGTGTGTTTTGTTTATAAATCACTCAGAAAGTTTTCTTTCTTAAAACAAAATGTGGAATCAACTGTCCACAGTAGTGGGGCTTCCATAAATAGGAAATGGCACATTGTTGTACCCTTTGTTGTATCCTGGAGTTTTGTTCACATTGAATATGAACCCTGTATTTGTACCCTGTACTTTTTATTTTATTTTTATTTATTTATTTTTTCATTTTTATGGCACTATCTCTCTTGCATCTGCACTCTTGTACAAAATACGTGTTATAATAAATGTCATATGATTTTAAAGTAAAATAAAGTTTATAATCTTTGAATATCATGTGTTGCCAGTTTTTTTATGTGTGCCCCCCTGATTAAACACTGGCCCCTCCTTGGCCCCCCTAGTAAAATAGCTAAGCTAACCCTAACCCCAAGAGCTAGCTAACGTCAGCCACAACAAATTCTTAACATATTGTCCGAATTGCAATTCATATCGTATAGGAAATGGACAAAAATGTATGCACTCACTACAGTAAGTCGCTCTGGATAAGAGCATCTGCTAAATGACTAAAATGTAAAATACATACCATACGAAAGGTAACAAACTAATTGGGGTGTCTCGGATTTACATACAGAACAATACTAAATGCTCTGAAACCACATTGCGAATAAGGAATCACTTCGGCTCTATTCATGGGATTTATATCTGCAACGGTCGAGAACGTTTTGTAACCAGTATGAAAAATTTATGCACTCACTAACTGTAAATCGCTCTGGATAAGAGCGTCTGCTAAATGACTAAAAATGTCAATTGAACGTGGCCAGGGGCAAGGCCACTTGAGTTGTACTTATTATCGGGATAATAATATAGCCTAGCCCAGACTGGTCTACAACTTCTACTTTTGTAAAATTTCTCAAATAAATGTGTGCATGACATGCGCTCTTTTGATCGACATTCTTGAAGGAGAGCTTTTGACGTTCTCTCAACCAGTACCTAGCTATCTATTATTACAAATCGAATCAGTTAAGAGAAAATAATTGAGAAGCATGCATACTGACCAATAGGACAGCTGTAAACATGCTCTAAAGAGGCAGGATTCACGGTATCTTATCGCTATTGTTGTTCCTTCGAACAGAAGTCGGGATAATCATACTAGATAATTAATATGTTAAGTCAGAACACTTTGCACGATCCAAAGCTGTTTGATATGAAGTCAAATTAACTTGGTCCGTGGAAACATCGACATTCAGGGTTACTTTAAGAAAGCAAGCTAGCTGCTGCTACTGCTAGCCACTTAGCTTGGGATTTGTGATGAGATTGGAAGCGGAAGGAAATTCTAAGGGAAATGAGAAAAAATCTGTACTGGGATGTCTTGGGCAAGTTGGAATAAATATTTTAGCTATGTTATACGACAAATGGGCTTTGCGACTCGTGAAAGCAGGGGGTTTATTTTGTTAAGATGAAGTTATAGCAATCGGTTGGTGTTGAGACATTTCGTAATTGTCAGAAGCTAACTAGCCACGTATTGATAGTTAGACTTTTAAAATGGCGGAAGGCTGGCCCATCCCCCCGGCCCTCTTCTTGTTGAGTTTGAGTGCCTGCTGGGGTCTCGATTCCTGCCCTGCGCCATGCTCTTGTCTAAGGGGATCAGACGAAATCCAAATCCTGGATTGCAATAGGAAAAGGTTGTCAGCGGCCCCCCTGGATCCACCTCATGGGATAACTCATCTGTAAGTAGTCTACTGTAAGCTAGCTAACCGGTAACAAGCTAGCTATGTAGTTAGCACGTTTGTTTACAAGCTGCAGTGGCTCCTGAGCAAGCCACCTGGCCTTGTTAGTTTGCTAGCGAGGTCTATATGTGAAGTTAATTATTTAACTAGATATATATGTGGATCAGTGGAGGCTCCTCCGATGAGGAAGGGGAGGACCATCCTCAGTGAATTTCAGAAAAATAAAAACTGAAACATTAGGTAAAACAACAAAATATATTAATGTCACCAAATAGTTTATTAAAACACACTGTTTTGCAATGAAGGTCTACAGTAGTCTCAACATCACTCTCTGGGATAGCACCATGGTGTATGCAGATGACAGCTAGTTTCCTTCCTCCTCTGGGTACATTGACCTCAATACAAAACTTTTGAGGCTCATGATTCATACCCCCTTCCATAGACTTGCACAGTAACTATGATGACGTCCGGCTCCAACCTATCAGCGCTCTTGCAGCATGAACTGACATGTTGTCCACTCAAAGGATCAGATAATTGGCAGGTAGCTTAGTGGTTAAGAGCGTTGTGCCAGTAACCGAAAGGTCGCTGGTTCTAATCTCCAAGCCGACTAGGTGAAAAATCTGTCGATGTGCCCTTGAGCAAGGCACTTAACCCTAATTTCTCCTATAAGTCGCTCTGGATAAGAGCGTCTGCTAAATGACTAAAAATGTAAAATGTAAATAATTAATCTAGTACTGAAAGCATAAGCTACAGTTGGCTAGCACTGCAGTGCATAAAATGTGGTGAGGAAGTTAGTTGACTCAAAGAGAAAGACAATAGTTTTACAGTTCTGAACAAATTCATTTCTTCAAAAATGAAGAAGCAAGAGGGAGAGAGCGTTAGCTATATTTCGTTGCATTTGTTTCACTTAGGTAGCGAATGCAGCTAGCTCATTTAGCCTACTCAACTGGCTCAAACAGAGAGGGATGCTATGTTAGCTAGCTGGCTAGGCTAAGGCTATCCAACACTGGAACTCTTCCAAGTCAAGGTAATCTTTTGGTTTTATAAATGTATTGCCACTCGGGCCTGCAGGTGTAACTACAAAACTGCTTGCTGTTGTAAACTGTATTATATGATTGTACCAGGTTTACTATGACATTAGCGAATATGGTGACAATGATGTAGGCTGTGTAGCAGTTCGGGTATGACGGTTTGACTTGGATATTTTTTTTTTTACCTGGTCACAGACAGCTGTTGTGTTGTGCACTGAAGTCCACAAGCGAAGGGAAAAGGTGAGAGGAGGAGAGCGTAGATGCGAGAAGGAATTATACAACTAGCAAAGTAATCATGCTGTTTGTATGTGGCTGCTATGAAAGTGAACTGTGTTTGTGTGTGATCAGGGGTGTATTCAGTACGCCGGTTCTCTTGAAAAACGTTTCCTAAATGGAAACAAACAGAACGAAACGGGATAAACATACCTGAATTTGTCCAATAGAAACTCTTGTTTGCAACTGTTTGGACTAATGATTACACCCTAGATCAGCTAGATGCAGGCAAGTGTGTGCATAGGCGGTATTGAATGTGTCACTCTGTGTCCTTGATTACTCAAATTTCTCTCTTGACCTGTGCACCTACGTTGTAAACTTTCATTTGTAGGCTAGGTTGTAGCAACCTCATGATGGGTTAGTGACATTTTTAGTATCATGAAGTAGCCTAAATCTAGCGATGTTACATTGAGCTGGGTGAATGGAATATGAATGACAGTCATCCAATATGCTGTAATAGAAATAAGGCCATGCTCATAAAAATTGAATGAATCTTAAACGGCATTTACCGCCACTGATCTGGATGTTGTTCTTGTAAAGATGCCAAGGCAGCTGCAAGGTCCACTGAAGGTGGCTATGGAATTCCCGGTAATAACTAATGGAATCCTTTTCAGCACTATGAATCACAATGATCTGACAACTGTTCCATACCTTGGAGAAGTTACCCCAAACATCACAACACTCTCATTGTAAGTGAAAACAATTTTATCCTCCTGTCTGTAAGTTGTGTGATTCCTAGGTGTCCTGTAGTAGTATGCGTGCCATAGTAGTGATGTGCAGTTCACAAACAACTACTTTTACTGACTGAGTCATGATTAGTTTTTCTGAGCGACTCATTCATTTAAGTAGTTTATTTGAACTGCGAGTGCTGGCCGCAATGAGTCCTGCAGCAGGATTAATACACGCTCCTCCGGCTCAGCGGCTCCAGAGACGTGCTTCGACCACCAACTGTCTGTCTCGCAGGAAAATATACTGAACAAACATATAAACGCAACATGTAAAGTGTTGGTCCCATTTTTCATAAGCGGAAATACAAGATCCCAGAAATGTTCCATACGCACCAAAAGCATATTTCTCTCAAATGTTGTGCACACATTTGTTTACATCCCTGTTAGTGAGCATTTCTCCTTTGCCAAGATAATCCATCCACCTGACAGGTGTGGCATATCAAGAAGCTGATTAAACAGCATGATCATTACACAGGTGCACCTTGTGCTGGGGACAATAAAAGGCCACTCTAAAATGAGCTGTTTTGTCAAACAACACAATGCCACAGATGTCGTCTCAAGTTTTGAGGGAGCATGCAATTGGCATGCTGACTGCAGGAATGTCCACCAGAGCTGTTGCCAGAGAATTGAATGTTAATTTCTCTACCATAAGCCGCCTCCAACGTCGTTTTAGAGAAATTGGCAGTACGTCCAACTGGCCTCAAACGCAGACCACGTGTTACCATGCCAGCCCAGGACCTCCACATCCGGCTTCTTCACCTACGGGATCGTCTGAGACTAGCCACCCGGGCAGCTGATGAAACTGAGGAGTATTTCTGTCATAATAAAGCGCTTTTGTGGGGGAAAAGCTTGTTCTGATTGGTGGGCCTGGGAGGGCATAGGCCCACCAACTGGGGAGCCAGGCCCACCAATGGCTGCGCCCCTGCCCAGTCATATGAAATCCATAGATTAGGGCCTAATACATTTATTTAAATTGACTGATTTCCTTATATGAACTGTGACTCAGTAAAATTGTTGCATGTTGCATTTATATTTTTGGGCATTGAGAAGAAAAATACATGTTTAGAACTGACAATTGATTGCATGGTGCAAGAATGAATGCAATTAATTAATTATTGAACGTTATGATGGACACAGCTTTGTAGAACCAAAACATACACAGCCTCTGATCAACAAACTTGAGGATAAATTATTTGGAGGGCTGCAGTTCGTGAACGACATTGTTCTTATCACCCTGATCGTCAAGCAATACATTCCGCCAAGAGTCGTTCTCAATCTAGTCCAGTTGCGGCCACAATTAGTCTAGGCCTCGTTTCTACCGTATCAAGGAATAATCATATTTGTTTGCATGCCTAGCAATCAACAAATGTACATTGTTTAAAGCACACGTTTTACACATCTGTCACAAATGACAGCTCCAATAAGCCCCGCCCCCTATGGTGAACGACGTGAACGAGAGGCTTGTAGAATCATGACACAAATTTCGAGTTTTCAGTTCATTGTTCGCGTGCTATGGGCATGACTGACTCCAATGAATGAAATTTGTTGAAAGATTTGTTCTTTTGACTGAACGAGTTGAAAAGATCTGAGTCAGTAAAAAGAACTGAACTTCCCATCTCTATGCCATAGGGAAGTGTCGGAAGAAAGGAATCACCGGCCGGGGGCCTTCTGTTCTCCCCTTAGTCCTACCCTACATTCTTTATGCCATGGTTTGGGTCATTACCTCTTCACATTGATGGTGTATTTATGTAGATTCATGTTGATTATTATGTACATTACTGCTCATTGTGCACAGGGTTCACAACCGGATCTCGGAGCTGTGGATGCATCAGCTGCATCCATACATCTCCTTGGAGACACTTGACCTGTCATCCAACTCCATCTCAGAGATAAAGGCTGTAGCCTTCCCACTCATGCAGCTGAAATACTTGTGAGTCCTGCCTGTGGCATTGTTTTCCAACTATAGTAGACTACTTCTAATGAGTGAGGAGATGGTCGTTTCAGCCATAACCAGAAGGGTGTGTTCTACTGTACTTGTTGTCATTGGCTTATTAATGTTGTATTAATGTGACTTCTTAATCCAAAATAAAGACCTTAAAGTATTTGGAATGTATACATGCAGGTGTAATGTAAAAGTAAACTGATCACCCTACGCCCTTCCTGATTGAATGTTTCTGCATCTCTATCTCCCAGGAATTTAAGCAATAACAAGATCAGTGTCCTTGAACCTGGCTGCTTTGACAACATCTCCAGCTCCCTGCTGGTCCTGAAGCTGAACAGGAACAGAATAACACTGCTACCATACAAAGTGTTCAGGCTTCCCCAGCTGCTCTTCCTGTAAGTCAATGTTCTTCTTCAGTCAAACCATTACCATAGCAATGATGAGCAGCGTGCAAACCTAATTACCAGACCCTCGCTAGGTGGTAGGTTTCTTACATGATTTAGTCTACATGTTAAGCTTTGGAATGTGGTCTATACTTTTGTATGAGGGACTTTCCTTAGTTAAATACATTTTCTTTCAAAGGCATTCATGAGTGAATTTTTAGATTTCATAGATTCAGTATGTAACACTGTTTTTATAGTAGTTGAAACAAATTATTCTAAACTACCTGATTCTTACTCTATCCTAGGGAATTAAAGCGCAACAAGATCAAGATGGTGGACAGCCTGACCTTCAAAGGGATGGACTTACTGAAATCACTGAAGATGCAGCGGAATGGCATCACAAAGCTGATGGACGGTGCGTTCTTTGGGCTCAACAACATGGAGGAGCTGTGAGTTCTTCTGCCTTTTTGTGTTTTATAAGAAAGATCTGTACGGTATATGCACAGATAGAAGGAGCCAGATATCTCACAGGATGTATAAATCTGAAGAATCTGTTTAGAACTTCCACTCACCACCAAATATGGTGATAAGAGTAAGTCCAGTGGCGGGAAGTGGGAGAATATGGAGCTAGATAATACTTGGCCAACATTCTGCAAATTTTCTCATCAATGGAACATTTGATCCCAATTCTGTTTTCTTTCCCAAAACTACAATCTGTTACGAACAGAGTGCACTAAGTTTAGTAGACTTGACCCTTTGCCAAAGTAAAAAAAAAAAAGCGTTGTTTAGGAGTGTTAAAAACACCATTAGTTGCTCGTACTTGGTTATGCCCACCTCCTTGCTTGTTCTGCCCACTATGCTTCATTTGCTCCAATTGGAAACGACGCCGATGAGATACAGTGAGCTCTAGGGTTGTGCGTTATTACGATATAATCGGAAATCAACAATGTTTGACAGACATCGTCGATGGCAACAACATCGTGATGTGACAGATTATCGTTTTTATATATTAGGATTTGTTTTTTACAGACGGTAGTTTAACCTATTTTGTACATGACTGGCAGCGCACAACAGTGCAGTTTAGAGCCAGGCGACACGCCAAATGACCTACCTAGTCCTATTTGCCATAGCCCTTTTCAATAAATATGTAGGTAGACTTAGCCTACTATTAACATAATGCAAGAGTAGGCCTACAATGTATGTAGGTTGTAGACGGAGCGGAGAGTGCCAAAAGCTGCGTAAAATGTCAGATTACATTTCTTTCGCTCACCTCTCCAATGTCGGATGATCATGGGTCTTTTACAGCGGACACGCCGTTGTCTGGCTTGTTTTAAAAGCTTAATTTCCCTTCTTTTTTTTTACGACCGGAGAATAACACCAGATATAGCAGACTGACCCTAGCTCCTCCGGCACATAGACTATTGCAGCATAGATACTGGAGGCTGTGACGGGGGGGTCGGGAGACACTGTGGCCCTGTCCGACGATACCCCCGGACAGGGCCAACCAGGCAGGATATAACCCCACCCACTTTGCCAAAGCACAGCCCCCACACCACCAGAGGGATATCAACAGACCACCAACCTACTACCCTGAGACAAGGCTGAGTATAGCCCACGAGATCTTCTCTGTGGATGACTTCGTCAACCATTTTGAAAAGAAGGTTGACGACATCCGATCCTCGTTTGTTAAGTCAAATGACACCGCTGGTGAATGCACCAATTTGTAAGTCGCTCTGGATAAGAGCGTCTGCTAAATGACGAAAATGTAAATGAAAATGTACTGAAGAGATGAGCCTTCAGTAAAGACTTAAAGGTCGAGACCGAGTCTGCATCTCTCACATGGATAGACAGCCCATTCCATAAAAATGTTGCTCTATAGGAGAAAGCCCTGCCTATAGCTGTTTGCTTAGAAATTCTAGGGACAATAAGTAGGCCTGCGTCTTGTGACCGTAGCGTACGTGTAGGTATGTACGGCAGGACCAAATCGGAGAGATGAGTAGGCGCAAGCCCATGTAATACTTTATAGGTTAGCAGTAAAACCTTTAAATCAGCCCTAGCCTTAACAGGAAGCCAGCCTAGCACTGGAGTAATATGATCACATTTTCTGGTTCTAGTCAAGATTCTAGCAGCCGTATTTAGCACAAACTGAAGTTGATTTAGTGCTTTATCCGGGTAGCCGGAGAGTAGAGCATTGCAGTAGTGTAATCTAGAAGTGACAAAAGCATGGATTAGCTTTTCTGCATCATTTTTGGACAAAAAGTTTCGGATTTTTGCAATGTTACGAAGATGGAAAAAAGCTGTCCTTTAAATATTCTTGATATGTTCATCAAAAGAGATCAGGGTCCAGAGTTCCTGCCTTTAAAAATTTTTTTTTAGATGACTGTACAACCATCAAGATTAATTGTCAGATCCAACAGAAGATCTCTTTGTTTCTTGGGACCTAGAACTAGCATCTCTGTTTTGTACGAGTTTTAAAAGTAAAACATTTGCTGCCATCCACTTCCTTATGTCTGAAACACATGCTTCCAGGTTAAGCAATTTTGGGGCTTCACCATGTTTCATCGAGATGTAGAGCTGTGTGTCGTCCGCATAGCAATGAAAGTTAACATTGTGTTTCCGAATTACATCACCAAGAGGTAAAATATATAGTAAAAACAATAGTGGTCCTAAAACGAAACCTTGAGGAACACCGAAACGTACAATTGATTTTTCAGAGGACAAACCATCCACAGAGACGAACTGATATCTTTTAGACATATAAGATCTAAACCAGGCAAGAACTTGTCCGTGTAGACCAATTAAGGTTTCCAATCTCTCCAAAAGAATGTGGTGATCGATGGTGTCAAAAGCAGCACTAAGGTCTAGGAGCACGAGGACAGATGCAGAGCCTTGGTCTAACGCCATTAAAAGGTCATTTAACACCTTCACGAGTGCGGTGTCAGTGCTATGATGGGGTCCATAACCAGACTGAAGCATTTCGTATACATTTTTTGTCTTCAGGAAGGCAGTGTGTTGCTGCATAACAGCTTTTTCTAAAATGTTTGAGAGGATTGGGAGATTTGATATAGGCAGATATTTTCTGGGTCAAGGTTTGGCTTTTTCAAGAGGGTATTTCCTGTATACCAGGGAGCTAGTTTCTGGTGACAAATGTTGTATTTTTTTACGCAAGGTTAAATTTAGATCCTCAGTTAGGTCGTTAACTGATTTTTGTACTCCGACATCCTTGAGTTGGTGGAGGGAGTCTGGAAGGGCCTCTAGGAATCTTTGGGTTGTCCGAGAATTTATAGCACAGCTTTTGATGGTCCTTGGTTGGGGTCTGAGCAGATTATTTGTTGCGATTGCAAATGTAATAAAATGGTGGTCTGATAGTCCAGGGTTATGAGGAAAAACAATATTTATTCCATGGGACAAAACTAGATCCAGGGTATGACTGTGGCAATGAGTAGGTCCGGAGACATGTTGGACAAAACCCAATGAGTCGATCATGGCTTCGAAAGCCTTTTGGGTCTGTGGACTTTTCCCTGTGAATATTAAAGTCACCAAAAATTAGAATATTATCTGCCATGACTATAAGGTCTGATAGGAATTCAGGGAACTCAGTGAGGAACTCTGTTTACGGCCCAGGAGGCCTGTAAACAGTAGCTATAAAAAGTGATTGAGTAGGCTGCGTATATTTCATGACTAGAAGTTTAAAAGACGAAAACGTAGTCATTTTGGGGGGGTAAATTGACATTTGCTATCGTAAATGTTAGCAACACCTCCGTCTTTGGGGGATATGGTCACTAGTGTAACCAGGAGGAGAGGCCTCATTTAACACAGTACATTCATCAGGCTTAAGCCATGTTTGTCAGGCCAATCACATCAAGATTATGATCAATGATTAGTTAATTGACCATAACTGCCTTGGAAGTGAGGGATCTTAACATTAAGTAGCCCTATTTTGAGATGTGAGATATCACAATCTCTTTCAATAATGACAGGAATGGAGGAGGTCTTTATTCCAGTGAGATTGCTAAATTAAACACTGCCATGTTTTTAGTTTTGCTCAACCTAGATCGAGGCACAGACACGGTCTCAATGGGGATAGTTTCTGGCCTCCACCTGACCAAAGCTTTAGGAAAAATTAATTGTGTGCTGCTGGAAAATCCTTGCAAACCAAACAGCCAATAATATAGGCCTACACGAAATAAAACATGTAATTCAATAACATTTGCAGTAAGCATAACTTGTACAAGTTAAACTTCTAAACAGATATTTATATTTTTGTGGAAGTGTTTATTCATATCCTTGAATTGCGCAGGAACAATAAATAGATGCTGCCTATGAAAACAATAACCCACAGTTGGATGGGCTACAAATGACAAAATAAATCATGTAAACAAAATAAGTACAAAATTAACCACATAAATTACAGTGCTAAAAAGTTTATGGCACACAACAGAATATTCTAGCCTAGGCTACATTTATTTACAATAAGACGTGTCTGTGGAGACAGGCTTTGGAAATTAAACAAATAAAAGAACCAACAACACATTTGTTGTTGCTTTGGCTCTGTACTCCAGCACTTTGGATTTGAAATGATACAATGACTATGAGGTTAAAGTGCAGACTGTCAGGTTTAATTTGAGGGTATTTTCATCCATATCGGGTGAATAGTTTAGAAATTACAGCACTTTTTGTACATAGTCGCCCCATTTTAGGGGACCAAAAGTATTGGAACAAATTCACTTATGTGTATTAAAGTGTTTTAAAGTTTCGTACTTGGTCATATATTCCTAGAACGTAATGATTTACATCAAGCTTGGGACTCTACAGACTTGTTGGATGCATTTGCTGTTTGTTTTGGTTGTGTTTCAGATTATTTTGTGCCCAGTAGAAATTAATGATAAATGTGTTTTTTCATTTTGTAAATAAGAATAGAATATGTTTCTAAACACTTCTACATTAATGTGAATGCTACAATGATTACGGATAGTCCTGAATGAATCGTGAATAATGATGAGTGAGAAAGTTAGACGCACAAATGTCATACCCCCCCCCCCAAAAAAAAGTACTAACTTCGCATGTTATTGTAATGGTGAGAGGTTAGCATGTCTTGGGGGTATTATATTTGTCATCTGTAACTTTCTCACTCATCATTATTCACGATTCATTCAGGACTATCTGTAATCATGGTAGTATCCACATTAATGTAAATGTGACTCCAAAATGACACAATACATTATTTACCATTAACTTCTATTGGTCACAAAATGTATGTTTTCTAAGAGAGCTGGAGCACAACAATTTGACGGAGGTCAACAAAGGCTGGCTGTATGGCCTGCACATGCTGCATGTTCTGCGGGTCAACCAGAACGCCATCGGCATCATCCGACCAGACGCCTGGGAGTTCTGCCAAAAACTGGAGGAGCTGTAAGTGTTCTCTTTCTAACCCCAATCCCACTTTTCTCACACGGTTCAAGACGGGAGTGTGTCTACACTAGTTTTGCATAAGGGTTAGGGTTTATTGTTACCCCTTTATGAAGCTGCAAGACCAGTATCTAGTTGGGATTTGGGGAGGGTGTATTGCAGATCATTTATGTTGATGTTAACACATGGATTTAAGCTGATTCTTAAGGGGTCAAGATGTTTTAGTACAGTGTGATTGCACAAGACCATTGTCCAAGCTTGTCTCCTGTGGATGTCCTCCTTTAGGGATCTGTCCGTCAACCACCTCACCCGGCTGGAGGAGAACGCATTCATTGGACTGGGCCTTCTGGAGAACCTGAACCTAGGAGAGAACGCCATCAGCCATCTGGGAGAGGGAGTCTTCAGCAGCCTGGCCAATCTGCGCTCACTGTAAGGACCACACACCACTCTATAAAAACCTGTGCCTTTATATAATACACACTGCATTCTGATGAAGACTGCGAACTACAGTAGGTTTGTTTTTTAATATTTCTGATTGGTCCCGTCTTCGTTTTGTTGAATTAGTAGTACCCTAGTGTACTGGTAGTCTATTAGACTGTTGTATGGTAGACCACTAAACTATAGTATAGTAAGTAGCACCTTCATGTTCTCGTCGTCATGTCTTTGTCTTTACATGTAGTATAGAACCACTCATTCGCATAATATAGCTTAAAGACCTCTGAGGCAGGAAGAATACTGTTGGAGGACAGAATTAACAGTAAATGTAGCCTCAGGCCAGAAGATTGGCTCAATTAACGAAATACTACCTTTTCATCCAAAATCGCTCTGGGAAGTGGAGGAGGGGGCACTAACACATTAATTGACATGCTGAGTGCCTAGAAGTCATTGAGCTTCAAAAAGAGGGAGGTCAGGGCTCGGGGTCAGCACACCTCCCTGGGCTGTCCGTGGCAGGGGGAATTAGAGGGTTCAGGCCCTTTGAGAGCCACCCAGGCATGAGCAAGGAGAAACAAAAGCGCCCATGGCCTGTCCTGTGAACACAAGCCGTCTGGGTTTCAGAAGGACCTGTGAACCGTTCAATGCTAAACACAGCCAATTATTCCCCTCATCAGAACTGCAGGAGCACTGAGCTATGACACTCTGGAAGGTATGCCACTTCACATTTGCCAAATTAATCAAATTGGTTTGGACACCCGGAGCAGAAATTAACTTCTATCTGTCTTGTACTGTGTTGTCACCAAGCAATGCAGCTCAGAGTGATCTTTGTGCTTCTTATTCTGGGGAAAGTATTTATTTTCTTACATATTTCTGTTTGCATTTCAGAGACCTACGGAATAATGAGATCTCTTGGGCCATTGAGGATTCCATGGGTGTGTTTTGTTGGAATGAAGAAGCTGAACACATTGTAAGGGCATTCTGCATAATATATATGAATTTTGTTGCTATGGATACTGATATTGGCAGAATATTTGTAGGCATATTTAATCTGTTTATCCCCCAGGATTCTACAGCGGAACAAGATCAAATCTATCACAAAGGAAGCCTTTGAGAGTCTGGAGGAACTAGAGCACTTGTAAGTACCTCCATAGCAAAGTCACTCTTGAGGGATGGATGGTTTCCATTAAGACGATTCAGCAGCTATCACTTCAAGACCAAGACAGGATATGTTTCTGATTACCCCAGTGCAGCTGTTGTATTGTGCTAGTATCATAGGATGGCACTTTGATAATGGCATGGTGCTAGCGCAGCACTTCATTCATATTTATTTTCACCAACAGGGACCTGAGCAAGAATGGGATCATGTCCATCCACCCTGATTCATTATCTCACATGAAGCTAAAAGTGTTGTAAGAACTACTAATTTCTGAGGTGGTGTCTTGGGAGTCCTTGTGGCAGAGTTTACAATATTTTTTTCCCTGTATAGAATACATTCAAAAATTGAATAATGATGTGATAATATTATCACTGTGTGTCCTGTCAGTTTCCTGAATACTAGCAGCCTGCTGTGTGACTGCCAACTGCAGTGGCTGGGCTCGTGGTTGACTGACAACCACTTCCTGCAGTCTGTCTCAGCTATGTGTGCTCACCCTGCCAGCCTGCTGGGCCGTAACGTCCTGTCTGTCAGCCTGGAGGAGCTGGTCTGTGGTCAGTCACCTAGCTACCTACCCTGCTTTATCTAGTCTGGACCAGATCTCACTTACTGGGACAATTATCCCAAACGTATTTATTTAATCTCATGGCCCCCTCTCTCCACTCTTTCCCACAGACGACTTCCCAAAGCCCCGGATCACTGATCACCCTGAGACCGCCACCGTCCTGCGTGGAACCAATGTGACTCTGAGCTGCCTGGCGTCCAGCAGCAGTGACTCCCCCATGGCCACGGCCTGGAGGAAGGACGGGGAGGTGCTGTACGATGCAGAGGTGCAGAACTACGCCCGCTACCAGGAGGGAAAGCTGTTCTACACCACCGTGCTGCATCTCCTCAACGTCAACTTCACAGATGAGGGACGCTACCAGTGTGTTGTCTCTAACCACTTTGGCTCTAACTACTCCAACAGGGCCAAGCTCACCGTCAATGGTGAGGAGACTTTTGGTTTTCTCTCCTAACGAGTTTTTACAGACTAATCTCTGACTCGTTCCTTGGCATTTAGCTGTTGATGTTTGAGCTTGCGTGGTTTAGATAGACGTCTATTGAAAGCTGTCTTCAACCTTTTCTTAACTCCTTTTTATTTCCCCTCTCCCTCAGAGCTGCCATCCTTTCTGAAGACTCCATTGGACCTGACCATCCGCACAGGCACCATGGCCAGGCTGGAGTGTGCTGCTGAGGGTCACCCGTCACCCCAGATCGCCTGGCAGAAAGACGGGGGCACGGACTTCCCTGCTGCCCGGGAGAGAAGGATGCACGTCATGCCAGACGATGACATCTTCTTCATTGCCAATGTAAAGACGGAGGACATGGGGGTGTACAGCTGCACAGCCCAGAATGCTGCAGGGAGCCTGTCTGCCAACGCTACACTCACTGTGCTAGGTGAGCTTCATTCTTACCTGCCCGGCATAGTTTACTAGACCTTAGTGTCTTTGTATTAATCACTGGGTCATAAAAAACAATACCAAAAAACTTGGAGATATCCACATCTATATAATCTGTTTATAATTTGATAAATGATAATTGAATATGAACTACTGTATGTTAAATGTAAATCTCTCTCCTCCCAGAAACTCCGTCCTTTATGCGTCCCCTGGAGGACAGGACAGTAGCACGTGGGGAGACGGCAGTGCTCCAGTGTATCGCAGGCGGAAGCCCAGCGCCCCGCCTCAACTGGACCAAGGACGACGGGCCCCTGGTCCTCACTGAGCGCCACTTCTTCGCCGCCGCCAACCAGCTCCTCATCATCGTGGACGCGGGGCCGGCAGACACCGGGAAGTACATGTGCATCATGTCCAACATGCTGGGCACGGAGCGCGGCCACATCTACCTCAGCGTGTTGCCCTCGCCCAACTGTGACACGGCGGGCGGCTACGACCAGGACGGCTGGACCACGGTGGGCATCGTGGTGATCGTGGTGGTCTGCTGCGTGGTGGGCACCTCGCTGGTCTGGGTCATCGTCATCTACCACATGCGACGGAAGAGCGAGGACTACAGCATCACCAACACAGATGAGATGAACCTGCCGGTAGACATCCCCAGCTACCTGTCCTCTCAGGGCACACTGTCTGAGCCTCAGGAGGGATACAGCAACTCTGAAGCAGGGAGCCACCAGCAGCTCATGCCACCACTGTCCAACGGCTACGTCTACAAGGGAACTGACGGTAACCTTAACTATACTTACTTCCCAGATTCACCATCAGTGTCCTTCATCTGAGGCCCTTTGACATTACAATGTAAGTATCTGTTTTTGTACTCAGTCACAGACTGTTATTCTGATATTACCTTTTTTAAATTAGGGGGTAGATCAGCTTTAATATTGCAGATATATTGTGGGTTCTATCAATTTAATTGTTTGCATCATTTCTAATCCCCCTTTATTTTTGTGATTTATATATTTAATATTTTTGCCCAACCCTTCCTTCCCTACACTGATTGGAGTAAACTCATTTCCTCTTTCTGCAAGAGCTGGATTTTCACCCACAGCGGCCAATCCACCATTCATTGTGATCTTATCTCCAACCCTCCGATGTCCACAGATTAACCCATCTTTCCCAGTATAATGCCATTTTGCTATTTCCTTTTGCAATACATCCCTCCATTTGACTGTGATGTCTTATGAGGGTCCTGAACTTCCTTATTTGTAACATTTCTACCAATATTGCCCTAAAAATAAATACTTTACCCAAGAGTATAAAGATATTTCCAATTGACTGATCATGGTTTTTCAGGAATCCCCTAACAATACAGTTTGCAGGTCCATCTGAACCCTGATATTATGATGTAACAACCATTCCTGGACCTGACTCCAAAAGCGAGCCACGGATGGACAGTACCAGAAAAGATGATCTATTGCTTCTGTTTCCTCGTGGCAGAGTCTGCACAAGGCTGACTGTTCAATGCCCCATATATTGAGTATTTTATATAATAGCTTAAATTGAAATGAATGGATTGACGTGTCAATTGTTGTTTTTATTTAACAGTTCATAGATCTGTTCCCAACTAACTTGAACTTGTTCTGAATTTTAAATGACTGGGCAACTATTGCCCCTGACTGGTGAAAAGAAGGTTGAGTGAGTCACCATCCTGTTTGTGGGTTGTCCAGGTGTGTGCTACGGTGACACAGGCAGCGAGGTGGACACCGAGGCCAACGGGATGCTGCACTGCCGTGTGGGCTCTCTGTTCACGGGACAAAGCAGCTTCCATCCTGGGCAGCCCCGCGAGGGACTGGCTGGGGTGTCGACAGGTCGGTTTAGTTATGAGAACCAACCAACAAACAACTTATTCATCTCCAAAATCACACATTGTATGTATCCTCTTAAATGCACAGATGAACAATGGCTTTTTCATCACAGTTTGTTGGAAGGTGTATGTCTCCATCAGATAGTGAGGATTTGTTACAGAGCAAGAGTTTGATGAAATAGATTGTCCTCAACAGGTGGTGCAGGGCCGCTGGTCATCTGCTCGGACTGCTATGACAACGCTAACATCTACTCTCGGACCCGGGAGTACTGCCCCTACGCCTACCTGGCCGAGGACGACCCCCTGGACAAGGGTCTCTCTGGCATCATGGCCCACCTCCCAAAGGAGCCCTACAGGGAGCAGCACGCCCAGCATGAGGACACAGCCCTGGAGAGCCTCATCAACAACCAGGACTCCTCAGTCTTCCTCACCAGCCACAACCTCACTAAGAGGCTGAGCAAAGCCCTCAGCCCCCCAGAACAACACTACAGCACCGGTGAGAGATCAGCTACAGACAGGCTATCTGACAGACCTTAGTGGCATGCATTCTAAACCGTGAGCTCACAGACGCTCATTTTGCAAGTCAATTTTCAGACATCGCCACATTCAAGTCTGAGGTCCTCTTTATGGATGGAAACCCATTCTGTTGAGTAATGTCTGTTTGGTCTCTCTGCAGATGTTCCCTCCAGGTCGTTTTGGGGCAAAGGGGAGGACTTGTCTACAGTGCCCCAACCAGGTCTGTCACAGCAGCCAGTGACTGTGCACACGACTCCCTATGCATCTTCAGTTGCTGAGGGACGGGAGGAGAGGAGTGTGGAGATGGATCCCACCCTTCCCCAGAGCACACAGGACTACAGAAGTGCCTCTTCTAGGACTAAGTCTCAGGAGCACATCAAGGCCCCCACATAAAGCTCTGCCCCTTCCCTATACACCCTGCCATCCTCTCTCACTGGGTCCTCTTCTCTAGCCACTACCTCCAAAGAGACCACTCTCTGCCAAAAATGCTTTCTTGTATGTTTACAGTATTTCAATCACGCAGAGACTATTTGTTCCTATGATTTTGAAAAAGGACCAAATCTAGGGCTTGAACTGAACAGGTGAATGATGCCCACTGAGTCCCTCCACCTCCCCTTCCTCCCTCTCAATCTAGAGGAAGCTATGAATGTATGCGTCAGAGTGATGTTGGATGCTGCCTTTTGAGTTTTAAGATGTCAGAAGTTTGAACGTGCTCTCACGCCGTCCTCTGTCTGGACGGTGGAATGGCAGCATGGTGAATGGGTGCCCCAAGCGTTGTGCTTTCTGCTTGCTGATGCCACATTCTTGGTACAGTCACTTGTTGGAGCAGCCTTCATGATTTAAGGTACAAATCCAGGACATAGCTTCCTCTCGTCCAGGACCAGAGGGGACAAAGAGACCCCAGTTGTTGCTTGTTCAGCAGTGAGTGGTACGTACCTATAGGATCACAATGAATCCCTCCTCTAGCCATCCGTGTTGACTGTAACTGTCTGCTATTATGCAAACCCAGAGACAATGACACCAGACGTGGTATGTGTATATATAATTTTCACCAATTCCCATCAATGTCTCTTAAGCTAAGATTGTTTTGCCTTGGGTCAATTAGAGGCAGTCGTACCGACAGTTACTCATGTTATTTTTTTGTATGAAAACGCACTGTCAAAGCAAAGAAAATATTGAGAAATGCACATTTATTTTGACAGTCAATGTTCAGGTGGCCTCTCTTTGTAATGGTCATCTTTCAGATGGTATTCAGGCATTCTTAGTAACCCTCCATCAGGTAACCCTAAGGTTTCTAATCACTTATATGCGCTGACCATCATTTCCTCTCAAAAGGTTATTTTACAGGCACTTACCTCATACGTGGTATGTTTTATCATGTAGTGTGTGTATACCATTTTAGATTCCTAAAGGATAATATATGCCTTTACCCCCAATTTCATCGACCCAAGACTCTGACCAGATTTGACATTGGGATTGTGAAGAACTAATGTATTGTATGGATTAAACGTGTATGTCTATTCAATACTATGTCCCCCAAACCCTAAGCTGATAGTTGGAATGATTTTAGTCCTAAGCTGCGGTAAGTTTGATTTATTTTATTTTTCACTCCAGGGCAATTCCTAACTTGAGATGGTAGATCACAAGTCAGGATTTGGCCCAAAATGTTGGTATAAATTTAATCTAGCTAAGACCAAGGCTTTTAATAAGGGTTCTCTTTCATCAAATCTGCTTTGCAGTATTTCTGTAGTAGTATATAAACACACCTGTTTCCTTTGCTCAAATAAAATAACTGAATCTTTTTGGCAATGGAACATGGATACTTCAGAATAAGATGTAGATTTGTGTAGGCTATACAAACAAAGATACTACATGAACATTGCTCTGACAGGTTTGATTGAATCTGTCCTTTAGTCATTATTTTTCACCTTTTGAAATCTCACAATTATTGCACTTCCGATTCAGCATTTCCTCTCTCTCGTGCATGCTTTCATTGCTGGTTTCTTTTACGTGTATGTCAACTACACCACAGTGTTTTTATTCCTGCCTCTACCATGTTGACCGTTATACATTTCCATGTAGGAGTGTTTCTTGTGGTTATCTTTATTTGAATGTGTTCCACAATGCATTCATGCTAAAATCACAACTTTTTGATAAGACATTCCGTATGACATTGCTTGATAATGCATCTGGTACATTTTGGCATTTTGAGATGATCCAAAAAGGATGCCTTTTGTCAATGCCTTTTGCAGTTGGTCTCAAGCTGTTCTTTGTCTCTGTGGTACTTGACTTACTGGATTTGCACATGATTCTTGCACACAATTGATTTTTGTTGTGGCTTCTTTTCAAAAGTCCATTGTTTTGAAGTTCTTCCATAAACCAGGTCATCCCTTGTACAGTCGTGGTCAAATGTTTTGAATGACACAAGTATTGGTCTTCACAAAGTTTGCTGCTTCAGTGATATTTTTGTCAGATGTTACTATGGTGTACTGAAGTATAATTACAAGCATTCCATAAGTGTCAAAGGCTTTTATTGACAATTACATTAAGTTTATACAAAGAGTCAATAATTGCAGTGTTAACCTTTCTTTTTCAAGACCTCTGCAATCCGCCCTGGCATGCTGTCAATTAACTTCTGGGCCACATCCTGACTGATGGCAGCCCATTCTTCCATAATCAATGCTTGGAGTTTGTCAGAATTTGTGGGTTATTGTTTGTCCACCCGCCTCTTGAGGATTGACCACAAGTTCTCAATGGGATTAAGGTCTGGGGAGTTTCCTGGCCATGGACTCAAAATGTCGATGTTTTGTTCCCCGAGCCACTTAGTTATTACTTTTGCCTTATGGCAAGGTGCTCCATCATGCTGGAAAAGGCATTGTTCGTCACCAAACTGTTCTTGGATGGTTGGGAGAAGTTGCTCTCAGAGGATGTGTTGGTACCATTCTTTATTCATGGCTGTGTTCTTAGGCAAAATTGTGAGTGAGCCCACTCCCTTGGCTGAGAAGCAACCCCACACATGAATGGTCTCAGGATGCTTTACTGTTGGCATGACACAGTACTGATAGTAGTGCTCAACTTGACTTCTCCGGACAAGCTTTTTTCCGGAAGCCCCAAACAATCAGAAAGGGGATTCATCAGAGAAAATGACTTTACCCCAGTCCTCAGCAGTCCAATCCCTGTACCTTTTGCAGAATTTCAGTCTGTCCCTGTTTTTCCTGGGGAGAAGTGGCTTCCTCGCTGCCCTTCTTGACCCCAGGCCATCCTCCAAAAGTGTTCGCCTCACTGTGTGTGCAGATGCACTCACACCTGCCTGCTGCCATTCCCGATCAAGCTCTGCACGGTGGTGCCCCGATTCCACAGCTGAATCAACTTTAGGAGATGATCCTGGCGCTTGCTGGACTTTCTTGCGCCCTGAAGCCTTCTTCACAACAATTGAACCTCTCTCCTTGAAGTTCTTGATGATCTGATAAATGGTTGATTTAGGTGCAATCTTACTAGCAGCAATATCCTTGCCTGTGAAGCCCTTTTTGTGCAAAGCAATGATGACGGCACGTGTTTCCTTGCAGGTAACCATGGTTAACAGAGGACAATGATTTCAAGCGCCACCCTCCTTTTTAAAGCTTCCAGTCTGTTATTCTGACTCAATCAGCATGACAGAGTGATTTCCAGCCTTGTCCTCATCAACACTCTCACCTGTGTTAACGAGAGAATCACTGACATGATGTCAGCTGGTCCTTTTGTGGCAGGGCTGAAATGCAGTGGAAATGTTTTTTGGGGATTAAGTTCATTTTCATGGCAAAGAGGGACTTTGCAATTCATCTGATCACTCTTCATAACATTCTGGAGTATATGCAAAACTTTGTGAAAATTAGTATTTGTGTCATTCTCAAAACTTTTGACCACAACTGTATATGAAATCATTCCAATCCCATTCCACTGCATTCAATATTAGCATGAATAGAGCTAATACACAGATTACACTTTCTGCTGGATAATTAAGGCACTTAAATTCAAGGTAGTAATTGTAGCCGATTTAGTTTAATCATCAAAAAAAATGTATGCACTCCTTGCTCCGGTAGAAGCAGTTCTCTAATAATCCGAGTCCTTTGTGTGTTGCTCTTCTGAATGATGTTGGATTTTATGCTGAACAAAAATATAAACACAACATGCAACAATTTAATGATTTTACTAGCTTACAGTTCATAGAAGGAAATCAGTCAATTGAAATAAATAAATTAGGCCCTAATTTATGGATTTCACATAACTGGGAAGCGGCGCATCCATTACATTTTACATTTACATTTTAGTCATTTAGCAGATGCTCTTATCCAGAGCGACTTACGGTTAGTGAGTACATACGTTTTCATACTTTTTCATACTGGTCACCCATTGGTGGGCCTGTGAGGGCATAGACCCACCCACTTGGGAGCCGGGCCCAGCCAATCAGCTGGATGTGGAAGTCCTGGGGTGGCATGGTTACACATGGTCTGCGGTTGTGAGGCCGGTTGGACGTACTGCCAAACTCTCTAAAATGACGTTGGAGGCATCTTATGATAGAGAAATGAACATTCAATTCTCTGGCAACAGCTCTGTTGGACATTCCTGCAGTCAGCATGCCAATTGCACGCTCCCTTAAAACTTGAGACATTTGTGGCATTGTGTTTTGTGACACAACTGCACATTTTAGAGTGGCCTTTTATTGTCCCCAGCATAAGGAGCACCTGTGTAATGATGTAATCATACTGTTTAATCAGCTTCTTGACATGCCAAACCTGTCAAGTGGATGGATTCTTTTGGCAAAGAAGAAATGCTCATAAGTGGGATGTAAACAAATTTGTGCACAGAATTTGAGAGAAATACGCTTTTTGTGCGTATGAAAAATGTATCGGATCTTTTTATATCAGCTCATGAAACATGGGACCGACACTTTACATGTTGCGGTTATATTTTTGTTCAGTGTATATATGGATTTGTACAGTGACTTTTCTTTCTAATGGGAGCTCAACTATGTGACATGCATTTGAATTGGTGTAAAAAACAAACAAACACATTTTTTTTTACATCTCTTTGCTTTGTGTTACACTCTGACTATTTTGTTTTTTTCTCTATACCAAAGTTCAGCAGTAATGCTCTGGCAATATTTAAAATGCTGCTTGTTTTCTGTGTTGTTGAAGTTTTTTATTTGTTAAGTGTATTTTTGTATCTTGACTACTTGTACATTCTGTAAAGCATGTGTAAAGAACATTTTGTTTCTTGATATGTACCTGTCATTAAAACAATCACAAATTTGATAATTCTGACCAGATGTGGTTTAAAATGTACTATGTGGAAATAGGCTTTGAAGAAGTAAGAAAAAAATGTCAGTAGTCAAGCCATCTGCAATGAGTCCATGC